CACCACTGAGTTCTCAAATGTAAGGCCCATAACAATTACGCATTTCGACAGACCTCGAAGCACTTCTTACCTAATATATCCCCACAGTGATCTCTTCTTTAATATTACACCATTCCTCTTTTCCTATGCCGCCGATGTTTTTTCCTGCACCCCCATGTATCTATCTCCCTCCTTTACCCTTTCTCCGAAGTACTTGTACTCACTTGCCCTTGGTATTTCTTGGCCCTGTATTGAGACTATTTGGTCTTTGTGGTCATTGAATACCTTCAATCCCCATTTTTCTTGAGCTTGGCCTTCCACTGCACTTATAACTACCAGACACTGTATATCATCTTAATTGTCCGAAAATAGTACAATATCTGCTGTATAAAACAGACCTGGAAGCTTCGGCTCAACCATCGCGCTAGCCAGTTTGTGTGACAGATGAAATCTAGTGTTGCTACCTTCCAGTGCTTTTTCGATTCTCACCATGTTCAGCATGAATAACAGCTTATACGAAGGACATCCCGGCCTCAGCCCCTTGTTAATTTCAACGTTGTCATTGCTACTTATTCCTTCCCATTCTATACAAACTGTATTTTCTCGGTATATTCCTCTCAAAAGCCGTACACAGTCGTCACCTTTGCCAGAATCTACTGGGTGCAACCCTCTCGCGGCATCCAGGCGTGCGAAGTGCTAAACATTTATTGCTTTATTTACTTTTTTCCTGGAGAGCGTGCCAATTGGGACAGCCTGAGAGAAACCCGCCGGCCCGCAATCTCGCAAAACAGGCCCCGCCGTACTACATGGTGTTAGTCGGGTGCTCTGATTAGGGTTCCTAGAGGGGGGGTGCACGCATCAAGGAACTCAAGCTCTGATGCCAGCGCTCGTTTAATATCTGGCATTGAAGAGCCGTAACGTAGTGCTGAGACTACCTAAGCGCACTCTGTCGGTGCTCGTTAGCGTCATAATGCAGTGCTTCTCTTCTACGTTCGTAGACTGCGGCACCGCCTGGCAAACCAAGAGCGCAGTTACAGAGAGGAGAGAGAGAAAGTTTATTATGAGAGAAAAGCTGAGATGTCAGGTGTGAAACACTAAGGCGCGTCTACTTATTCTTGTCATAAGTGCCTATGTCACCTAACGCCAAGGACATAGAGGTCGTGGGGTCGACTCCCGTGTCCCTTGTTATAGGAAAGGCTTTTCTTCCTATTTATTTCTTCGTATTCTGTTCGTGTGAAATTTAACAACATCGAATCCATGACGGAAGTACGCATGTGGACTCTTGAAGGACCATGGCACAAAACACGTTTGTGTAAAAAGGAAAGAATGCAAGAAGAAAGAGAGATATATTTGTGATACTGCAACAGCCTCGACTACATCAATGCCCCTTATAGCTCCACTGACTACTCAGCTTTGCGCCTTGTTTTTGTTCATTTTGGTTTGTACGCATAAAAAGATACATAAGAACTCACACACGAGCTATGGCTCTCCCCCTCCGGTAACAATTTCTGGTTTTACCACACATCGTTACGTTCACCTAGGTTTCTGGTGTGCCCTTATTACTGGTCCTCGCCAGCAACGCACTCTGTGCGGTTATGTGTGTCTTCATAATATGCATACCTAACACGTAAACAAGACTACAATCAAATCAAAGTTCACATGTGGCCCTGAAAGATCATAGCCCAGGGTACAAGCTTCCGACATCAGGTTTAATTGCATGTCTCCCCTTCTTCTTCAGGTTTCCACACCTGTCGCAGTCTGGTCATCGCTTTTCCTGCTGCAGCACTCTTGCCGTAAGCTGTTTTCCGAGGCTGTGTGCCAGAACCGCGAAGTCAAACCGCATCGCAAGGAAGTAGAGGGGTGTTAATAGCAAATTTTAGTACCCAATCGGATAATGGTGAAACAGAATCGATGGAAGTACCTACCGAATACTATTGAAACAATTTTCTAATAGTATAAGACAACCATTTTCAAAGAACTCCTAGAATAGTCATGTAACTTCTTCGAAACAGCCGAAGAACTCCCATATATTTTATTAGAAACAAATACTCACATGCTTTCACAAAATAACAATACGATAACTTTTAGGCGATAAAGAGATACCTCAGTTACGCCCACAACTGAAACTTTGCAAGTTAGCGCTCTCCGAGTTTGCTCATAGGCAAGCAAGTTGGGGTTATACCGATACGGGATCAACTGCTGATGCAGAGTGCGCAGGCACTACATAGAATAGTGATCTTTTAAGTATTTATTTATTTATTTATTTATTTATTTATTTATTTATTTATTTATTTATTTATTTATTGAAGATACCTCAAGGAACCTGTACGCATCACAGCGTTTAACATGAGGAGCGCCGGTAATGCACTGGTGATTGTCGGGTATGTCACCTGTTGTGTCCAAGTGCACGAGCTTCGCTTAGTGCCGCAATGAATCACGGTGGTCCGTGCAGCACCTTTTTCCTGTGTTCACCTTTAGAGGCGGCGTTATAAACGACATTACAAACAAAATGCTGTCTCAGCATTATTCCTCACAGTAAACCGAGATAGTTTATGGAGTTTTCATCTGTACCTCGTTAGTTCTAAACGAATTGCAGCTCCTAAACGAATCGCGAATGAGCTTACCGATGGGATGATGTCAAAGTGAATTTTCGGGAATTTCGCTCAAAACCAATTGAGCAGCTGCGGACACTGACATCGACAGCATAATTTCTGCGAAAGGAGCTATTTAATGGTATTCTGTTCACGCTGATGCGCAACAAACTATCATGATTAGGATAACTTGGTATACACATGACAATTAGCATAAACAGTACCACATATACTATACACTGAAAAGGAATCAAGAGATAATAGCGCAAAATAAATAAAGCCCCAACAATAGCAAAAGAGGACACCATATTACTGTGTTCGCGCAATGTTTGTGCTCCTGTCTTGTACAACTATATTCGGTTCCACCGCTCTTTACTACTCATGTAAAAAAAAACGGTCCCAAGAAAACAGTGATATCACGTAAGAAACAATTTTCTCCTTGCACTTCAGTACTATTAACATCTACACTCAAAAATAAGAGCAAGTAAAAAGGGTGTCTTTTTGTCCCACAACAATAATTGTCATCTATATTGCGTTCCATCTTTGCGCTATCGCCCCACGCCCGGTACATTCCGGTCCCGATCAACATGGCCATTATCAGGGTTACATTGCGTTCTCGATAGGAAAGTGACCAGCGCCGAGTTTTCCCGAAAGGAAGCGCACGCAATCCTGATGAAGATTATTGTTGTGGGACAAAAAGACACCCTTTTTACTCGATATTTTTTGGAGTGTAGTTGTCAATACCAAATCTAGCTGTCTTCAACTAGTCTGTCGCCATTGAAATCGGTTGACGTACGCTTTGTCTCTAGCAGTCGGAATACGTTTTGTCTTTTCGAGATGTACCGCTTGCATACCTCATCAATCACTCCCGCTAGTATACTTCTTTCTGATTGCATCTCGCAGTGGAAGCATTGGTACAAGCAAACCCAGCATTACACGGTTGCAGTCGGTAAAGGACGGAAACAGAGAGAGACAAACAACTTCAATAAAGTACAAGGCGGCCTGTTAAGCGTAGGTGCTGCCCTTCGTGAAAGGCCCCTCAAAATTAGGAGGTTAACCGTGCGTGGTCAAGGGCTGCAAGTTGGCTACCGAAGTCCACTTCGTAAAACGGGCTCCCGACGACCGTTTGATGAGACTGTCGAGTTTTGGGGTGGAACTCATCACGAATCTTTGTCAGAGTTTTTCGGAAAAACATTTTGTGGTGTCTTTCTAAAGTGCGGCTACGTGTTTGACGGTATTCGACATTAATCTTTCTCCTCTCGCCTTGTGAGTCTGAAATGAACTGGGTCTTTTTATTGCGTTCCTTGTCTTGACGCTTTCGCGACGTTGCTCAGTTTCCCACCGGGTGTCAAGGAGGCGTCCTTTCGAATGGTATGTATACCACAGCTCGGCCAGTCGTGCCTTGAACCAGGTGATCCTTCCATTCATTGCTTTCCGCCGCAATGGGTGCTAGGACACAATATTGAGCCTTAGGTGATTTGGAGATTTTATGCCACTTGTGAAGTACTTTAGACGGTGGAACTAAGCAAAGAAAAAAAAGTCGGCAGGCGTCTTCAGATTAGAAAGTACGTTCTCGTGCCCATCGTAACTATTCAAAATTAGTACCATTTTGCGAAACGTGAAGTGTTGTTGTGCACTGGTTAATTTTTAGTCCACTCCCCTCTGTGATGACTATTCAAGTACGAAGGTATATGCGTTGAAAATAAATAGCTAAATATATAAGTAAATAAATAAATATATAAGTAAATAAATAAATAAATAAATATGGTCTGTGACTTTTTGCCTTCTCTCACTGCTGGAAGGAAAATAAAAATGTTTCGAACCATTCTAATAAGCACGCCTCGATTTAAACCCTAAAATATATACGGTGTAACACTTTAATGGCAGTTCCAAAGCCTCCCAATCATCCCTAAACGCATTTATTGTCTTCAATTATTCTTTATTTTTGCAGCTTTGTGACTCTCAAGAACGAAACACAATATCGGCATGTTCCTTACCGCCGTGTAAGCGTATGAAAAACATAATCTTTAACTTTAAAGAAGCAGTTTTGAGCAGTCTACATGAAGAGACTGAAGGAAATCGACGGTGTCAGCGACACTTATTTTTCTCGTATTCACATGATTGGGTAGCTAAGTTGCTGATCTAGTGGCTGGTCCTGGTTTCTTCTTAAGACGTTGACTCAGCAGTGTCCCGAGATTGTCGGCAAACAAGTAAATAAAGATCTCCCTGTGAGTGCCACAGGCGTTTCACATAGCCTTATTTTTGTTTTTTCTTCTTCTAACGCGAGTGTGACGGTTCTAAAGTAGTACGTGAATTCCTTGTTATCGGCTCCGGCGGCGAAGGAGCTTTAGCACGCATATTGCGCGTTATCGCACTGTGGTAGCCGCCACGGCTACGAAACGCAGCGTGGAGGAGGCTCCTTTAAAAGAGCTGGTCTGTTCGGTGGGGCAGTGATCGTCTCCCACACTGTTAACTGTTGCACGGCTACGTTCTCATCAGCAATCAGCTAAGATGAAGGTTGTTCTTGCACTCACCCTTGTCACCGTACTAGGTGTGGCCAGTGGCACCCAGTTCTCCCTCTGCCGTAAGTGATTTCCAATACCACAATCACAGGGGCTCACGGGGTGTGCTTATTGTTTAGGCAAGTCCATTGTTTTGTTTAATATTGTGTAAGCAAGTACATTGGAAAGCTTTTATATAAGAAAGGTTCAAATGACATGACATGGCACATACCTGCTGCAGTACATTCAGTGAATATGTCATTGGGCTGCTGCTGTCCAGATTTGTAATTTATGACAGGTACTGCTGCCAGAATGTTATAGAAAAAATGCTAAGCCAGTGACAATAGAAATGCTTGTAAGAGCGAAAATTAGTGTATTTATTTACCGCTATACGAAGCGAAGTGTTAACTTATGGAGTGAGCGAAAATGATTGATCTGTTGAGCAGTACAGCATTTCGTGCATAGGACTCGAGTGGGCATAGTCCGTATTAGCAGTTGTACGAATAGCATAACCAGTCCGCACTGTCGGACATGCCTACGCAAATGCACAAAAAGTATAGACAACATTAGAGTTGCGCGTATATTGTGCGTTACGCAAGGGCTCATCGAATATGGCACCGTATTGATGTGTCTGCAGTTCCGGACTCGATTCTTATTAGTGAAGATGTATTCCTTCTGATGGTAGCGCAATGGCTTAGTACTGGTGTATCAAGACTTACGTACACGTCAGAGAAGCCACGTCGCAAAACGCAACCTGGAGTTCTGTTCTACGGCTTTCCGCCAGTCCAGTGTGCAGTTCAAGAACTTCGATCTTGTAGTGTTTTATGTTTGAAAGCATGTAAGCGTGAAAGACGACTGCTAAATATCAGCCTCTCTACAAATTCATTGTTGCTAGTTAAGTGCAAAACAAACGAAGCAGCACATAATGCATATACTTCAGAATATGAGGTTCGTTGTGCAGTATAACTGGGTGATACTCGCGCACATTGGAGTAAAAGTATTAATAGACATGGTGTACTCTGTGTCACAAGCTAGTGTGCTGTGAATTGTGCATAGTAATACTATCGAATAAAAATCAATGTGACATTGTAACGCATTGAACCATTTTCATAATTTGCAAGTGTGCTCCTTTGCACTGCATATTTGAACAAGTAATGGCGGCAACTGTCGAGCTTCAATCGGAGACGCGGTTCAAGTTGAACGTGCTGGGCTTGTCAATCAAGAGTGTTTATGTCAAGTGAGGTGGCTCAACATTTTTCACGTGGTTGCGTAAGCAAACCGCTCTTGGACAAGCTATTTGCACTAAATATATATATATATATATATATATATATATATATATATATATATATATATATATATATATATATATATATATATATATATATATATATATATATATATATAGTACCATTTAGTACCATATATATATATATATATATATATATATATATATATATATATATATATATATATATATATATAGTACTAAACGTGCCTTTTAATTCTTTCAGAAGCGTCATCCGAGCGAAGGCATGAACTGGTGAACTGTTTGAAAACTTACCTCAATGACCAGGTAAGGGGGCAGAGCTGCTTTGCACTCGCGCCGACCGATTCTAAAAAAAAAGTCAGTCATACCAGTCTTACCAACAGAATGGCTATAACATTACAGTCTCGTAGTCACAACCAGTGCTCATTTCCAGCAGCTCGCATATACTTACGAATTTCAGACAAGTGACATGTTTTTTTTTTGTTGTTCTTTTTTCATTTTGGACCAGGGAAAACAAAGGATAAAGCGCGAAGAAAAAGGCGCAAATAAGCATTGACAAAGTAGTAACGCTTTATTCCTAATAACAAGCGAACATTAGCAAACAAATCGAGAACAATACAAATGTTGCGCAAAAGATGAAAAGTGGGGGGAAGACGTGGAGGAAAGAGCACCCACATGCGTGAAAAGTTATGATACACCTTGGACGATTCGGCTACACCTTGAACTTTGAAACAAGTTTGAGATTATGTAGTTCTTTTTCATGTTGACGGCCACACGCTCAGTAAAAGCTGTGAGTCATTGTTGGGTGTGCACAAGGCCAACATAAAAGTACTGAAACGTACACTTTTGCTCGGTGAGGCCAAGCATGTGCTGCTCTAAAACCTTTACACCTACGAATATTTTGCCGAAGATGATGGCATGAGTGCTCAAAGAAAATTATCTAAGTTAGGAAAAGGAATCTGTGGGAGACAGTGGTAAAAGCCAAGAGAAGCAAACACAGCCACAGAAAGCACTGCTTTTATGGTCCTCGTATTTCATGCTGTTTTCTTAATATATGTTAGACCTACTAGCGAGCAAGTCAATCCTTCTATCTCTACTATATATATGAGCAAAAATTAAACTTACCCGTCTGTCAATTACCAGCTCATAACCTTTACATGAGTGAAGGTTCTGTAGGTGGACGTCACATTTTTTGGTGGGTAGTAACCATGGCTACACCACGAGACTACAGTCTTTAACTTCATACATCAACACGGTCCTCTCAAAATTCTTGTGTTTATTGTAAGTAAGCCACTGCATATGATTTTTTTAATTTTATCGCAAGTTGAGGGGATTGCGAAGCGTACTCGAAAGCATACAAAAAATGTGTACTATGTGGTATTTTAAAAACGGTACGCTACCTCTAAAAAAACACGGCTTTCAACAACTCTTTGCGTTAGCGTCAAAAGCAAACGGAAAAGTATAGCAATAGTAATGTTAATAATAGTAATAATAATAATAATTATCACTTTTGAAGTTTAATGGCTCAAAAACAACCATTTCATTATGATATACGCCTCAGCGGAGGCTCCAGAAATTTTTGCCATCTGGTGTTCTTTAACGTTCACCTCAATTTAAGTACACGGCCCTCTAGCATTTGCGTCACTATGGAAATTGCGACCGCCGAAGGGGGTTCGGAAAAGCCGGTAGAAATGAAATTATTACAGTACTGATAGTTATGAGCCACATTGCCACTAGCAAAATCGATACATGAGCCAAGTTGAGCACTATTCAGGTTCTTCCATTGATGTCTCGTTGCTTTTAATCCGTAGACTTCCCAGAAGCTGAGCGAGGTGAAGCAGCGCCTTAACTGCGAAGACCTGGACTGCGTCTTCACGAAGATTTGCGAGCTGGACAGTGACGCCCACGTGAGTATGCTTTGACTACGTGGACAATTACTGCACCCGTATATAGCCCATGCACACTGTGTCGTACCTGCTTCTACACCCTCTTCAAGGTTTGACTCACAAAACATATGCTGAACACCGTAATTTTGCTCACGCAGAGAGCTAGAAATCATTCTGATTAGTGCTACTAGACATGGCAACAGAATCAAACAGACGAGCACAGGTGCAACCACTTTTCCGATGCACAAAGATTGTCTGAAGTAGTAGGCAAAAAAAAATTGCTAAGCAAAACCTAGGTTTCTTTTTTGTCATACGAGTGGGTTAGGAGTGTGTAAGTGACCATTCCATTGCGCTTTACAATTCTGAAATGCAATTTACTTCGTGCCATTTTTGATAGTTTTACATCTGTATGGGACGTTGTGATGGTTCGCTTTTTTTGGTACATACTACAGTGGATCTACATTCTCTAAATTCAAATATAAGATGCAGCTGTGCTCGTCTGTTCCTTTCTGTTGCCCTGTTTGTTGCACTAATGATGGTGGTTTCTTTGTGTAAACATCAACTGACCCAACAGTCGCCTATATTAGAGTGGCATAGTCTTGGAAAATTAGTATATATACAGCAGTCTAGCTTAAATTACCCCGTGATATCAAGTCTGCATTCTCTCAGGATTAGCCTGCTCGCTATATAGCCACGTAGTTTGCAGTTACTTCACCGTCGATTATTTTTTCCGCAGTCGACAATAATTATTTATCACAAATACCTAAACATTCGTGACTAAATACACCTGACAAGAAAAAAAATGGCGTTTGACGGCGGTCAGGTGAATGGAGAAGTATGTGCGAGCAATAAAATTGGTGCAGGATCAAGGAAAAGACATGAAGCTGTCTTGTCTTGATTACCATCACAAAACATAGCGGAAGCTCTATTTGTGTTGGTAATGGGACCAAGAAAAAGGAGACAATCGAAATTTGAGAAGCAAGAAAATGTACACATACGTGCCAGACAGCTGACCATTTATTCAAAAAATGCTGAATGCGTCTAGGCGTTTGTTGCTCAAAGAACGATGTCTCCGAAGCTAAAAGGCAGTGTACTTGTTCCCGACAAAGCGGTATGCTTTAGTTTCCTCCACGTCAGCACACTCTGATTGACCATTGCTCGCTTAATCCCGCACTGCCACTCGGAAATCCTCCGGCATAGCTCAAAACGTATGGCCTCAGGTGTGAAATACATATTCCCACTGTGCAACTGATTTAACCACCCTTGGCATCGCTGGGTGGGTTTCAGAAACAATGTCATGTTAAGAGAACATTGTGCAAAGGATCAACAATTTGAAATCTCCAGTAAGAATGTGTTTGATATTTCACCTTTTGTGTATAAAACTCAACGACGTGTCATTTTGGAAGTTCATCCAGGCAAGCTTTTCTTCGTGTTTTCGCTACCGTGTGTCTAGCTTTATTATTCTTCAATATTTGCCCAGAGGCAATGTAATTTATGAGACGAATAAATTAATATGTTACACGATTAAATATTCAGGTGATGTTAAAAGATCAAAGCTTGACATACTTCATTACGTTTGCGTAATTACGTTTGCGAATTACGTTTGCGTAATTCCCTATTTTTCCTTTGCAGCAACAACACGCGAACACATTCCTTCCGGTAAGTGGATACGGTTTTGGTGCTTCTTTACAATTATGGTAACAGAGTGAACTAAATAAAATTGTACAGCTTACACTGTGTCAGACAGTCGTAGGGAATGCAAATCCCCAACAGAGGAAGCAAGAGATGTGGCAGAATAACTATATTTTTGTTTGGAAAAAGTTATGAGACAAACTTCGGAAGATAGTCTATGTGGCTACTACTTGTTTTAATATAATTGCCACTCACCGCTCTGTTATAACTGGTACTGTTCATTTTTATTTCCTCTTCTTACGATGAGAATGAACATGCCTTTATAACAATTGATGAAGAATGACATAAGAATCGTTTGGAGAAAGGTACAAAACTAAAAAAAAAACTTCTGCAGCACCATAGATTGCAGAGCCTGTGACCATAAATGCCATTGATCTGATTTTTTCATTTCTCAATCATTGCCAAACTTTCTTAGCTTGTCCCTGGAAATGCAACTAAAACACGCAGTGTCTTATAGAAGCTTCTTAGAATGTTACTATGTGCAGGGACAGTCTTACCTGCATTGATCCAAGGATCATTAACTCTTTGTTTTCCTGCTTAGGATGATGTGAAGACGGATGTTCGTGCAGCTTTTACGCAATGCCGGCCAAGCAACTAAAGATGCAGGTCTTCAGCGTCTCGCAATCACGTCATTGAAGACAATGTACCCATCTACTCGAAGTAATCATTAAATGTATATTTCAACTGAACTTCGAAAAATGTATTTTCATAACTGCCGAGCAATACACTTGTTCATTCAGTAATTTTTCTTATTCTTGCGCGGAGACAAAAGTGTGGGGATGCAGTGAGGTACTCAACACTGGCTTCATAATTGCCTAGGAGCACCGACAGAAGCTCACAAAATCGCAACAAGCAGTGCTGAACTAATAAACGACATTCTAAATATCTACGCCACAGTTAAAAACTACGAGAGCAAGGAGAACAGCAAAAAAAAAACGTGAACGTGATCAGCATTTTCTTGTCTTATAAGTTATGGCAGCTTTGCACTAGCGGTACCAAGCCTGGAAGAATAGAGCGCCTGGTTGGCGTTTCCTGTAACTCTTGATGCTTTTTTTCCTTGCTTCTTTAGTTATCTTTCTATTTCTATCTCTTTATATTTCTCAGCTTATGTCTCTGTTTTCTATTTCCTTTTCGCGTCTTTTTTTTTCTATGTCTTCCACTTTCTTTCTAAGTATTTTTGTGTGTTTCTATCTTGTTATCTCTATATTCCCTTCATTTATGTTTCTATAGTTTTTTTCTTGCACTCTTTCACATATTTTCTTTAAATTTGTCTCGCTTTTTTTCTCTCTCGTTCTCTCTCTCTCTCTTTCTCTCGATTTCCAGCTTTCCACGTTCTCCGCTTCCCCCAGCAGTGTTTTCTTTTAACGTCCGTACCTGCTTACTCGGCAGTGAGGCTTCTACAATTCGCGAGGCGCGTATACTACCTGTTTTTTTAAATACTGCGCTAACAACGACGGCATATGAAAGCCACGCTGTTAGGAAAACTAATGTAACAAACGACATAAGGGCACGCGAACGTTTGTTAACTTGTCTTTTCTCAGCTGCCGTTGTTCTTGCAAACATTGCGAGGAAAACCAGCGTCAGGAGTGACGAAGAGTGGTTGGTTCAAAACGCGGTAAAATTGGTCCACGTATTGATGACTTCGCTAAAAAATTGGTGTATTCATTCAAGAGCAGCCCTTTATATCCAGGTACCCAAACTAATCAAACTTTTTTCAAATGAGAGGGGTGGTATTATTACACGAACCGCCTTTATTATGTGCGAGTAAGCACCAACAAAAAGTTCAGCGCAAATATACAGAGAATATGTGAATATAGCAGTCGATGTAATTCTCGCGTTTACCTTTTCTAAGGCGAGCATCACTGCCAGAACTTTTGCCAGAAAAACGGGTATAAAATTAGGTAGTCGAAGAGAATAGGACCAATCTGAGCTCGGGTTAAATATACCACCTCCTCACTTTACGTCAGACTGTGATACATCTGCAGCAATAATTACGTGTGTTTTGACGCTCTGCAAGTGTTCTTCAAATAAACCATCTAGAGGGAAATGGGGGAGTAACTTTCTATCATTAGGAAAAATTCTGTAAAATAAATATTCACATGGTGTGAATTAACGCCAGTTAGTGTTGTTATTTCGCAGATACGTACATGCAGCGGGTTCACTACACGTTGTGCAAAGAAAATTTTTGGGGTGTGAAATTCTGACCATCTAACACCAAAAAATAGTTCTGGAGAAGACATTCCTAATGTCTCCGACGCTGCAGTGGTGGCTCGTAAATTCTTAAGAACTTTGAACGGTTACGATACGAAGCCTGCTCGAAAAAGAAGGAACTCTCCATTCTAGGTATAAAACGCAGTTTTGAGTTTGAGTTTATTCAACTACGTGACAAGTACACGAAAATACAATGTATACGTGGTTTGGTGCGAAGGGAAAAAAGCTGCATTTCACAGCTTGACTGGCCCCTTCACCCAGAAAACAAATCTAAACTACAAATTTACAAAAAATTATAAATGTTACAGGCAGCGGAAAGCGACAATACAAAAAGAAACACGCATGTGGCCCATGACAGCAAATAATAGAATCACAACTCTAAAATACATAAAAAATATTCATAACAAAGCAATGCATGAAAGAATAAAAACTGAATAACCATTACAGAAATCACCCAACATTCATTTACAACACAATCAGCACATCCAATTTAACATTTCAGTTTTAGACAATATACGGAGATTATCAGTTGTTAGTTTCCATTTGTTCATCAGACTTGGAAGGCGGTAACGTAGTGTTTCAAATCCATAATTTGTGAGAGGACAAGGTACGTGCCAAGTCTCCGTACAGCGAGTAACGCGACTGGCAGGATTTGGTTGCAAAGTGGCCAAGGTGCGTAAAAAGATACTTCCTCTGCGTATTTCTGATTTAAAAGCTGACAGAAGCTGGTATTCGTAATAACAGGTAATTCTTAAAATTCTATATTTTGCAAATATTGAAGCAGTGTGTGCGTTATAGGATACACCTTCAACGCACCGCAAGGCATTTTTTTGTAACACGACCAGGTTTTTTAGAGATGCTTTGGAGCCTGTAGACCAGACCAGATGACAATAGTGTAAATGTGAAGAAAAAAGAGCATTGTACACTAATATTTTTTGTTTCACAGGTAGTATGTTCTGGCATCGACGAAACACACCTAGAACTTTACAAAGTTTGTGACTAATGTGTTCTGCATGGTAATTCCATGCCATATGTTCATGAAAATGGACACCGAGAGTTTTAACTATTTGGCAAAGTTTAATTTCAACGTTATTAAGTATTAGCTTGTGAGACGTTTTAAATGACCTGGTTTTCGCACGGAACAGTACAGCCTTGCTTTTAGAGCAATTAATGTGTAGAGAATTTGCCACAGTCCAGGCATATAATTTATTTAGTATTTCATTAACAGAAACAATGAGGTCATCAGCCGTTTCCCCAGAAAAAAAATACTAGTATCGTCCGCGTAGATTACATATTCTACAGAGCTTTCAATACGTACAATATCGTTGATAAAAATATTAAATAATAGCGGTCCCAAAATGCTACCTTGAGGTACGCCATTCTAAACGTTCATGGATGATGATAGCTCCCTATTGATTGATACACATTGTTTCCTATTGGATAAGTAGCTTCTTATTAAAGCTAAAACGGTACCGGAAACTCCATAACAGTGAAGTTTGTCTAGCAAAATATCATGGTTTATTCTATCAAAAGTTTTCGAGAAATCTAAAAATATTCCTAGGGTAAGTTCTTTTGCTTCTATATTTCTTAGAATCAATTTCTTTTGGTATAGTAAGGCACTTTCGGTTGAGAGGCCTGACTGAAAACCGAACTGTGACGGCGTACTCATGTTGTGTTTATCAAAGAAATTTGATAACCGAATGAAAATAAGTTTTTCACACCCTTTAGAGAAAACTGGTAAAATCGAACTTGGTCTGTAGTTTCCTAAAATGCTTTTGTCCCCACCCTTATATATAACCGTTACTTTAGCGTTTTTCATTCTCTGAGGAAACAGCCCAGTGGTGAACACGAGATTGTAAATATGTACTAAGCAGGCGCATATGAGATCTAAAATGTATATTATAGGTTCTAAGTTTAAGCCATCTATGCCCTCGCTTTTACTCAATTTGAAATGCTGGAAAACGCTGATGACCTCTTGCGCGTCTGTAGGATTTGCAAACACAGAATTATTTAAAGCAGGAGGCAAATAACCTGATGACTCACAATTATGACTACTGTCAACTAGTGAGGTAAAGTACTCGTTAAATTTGTTTGCTAGTACTGCGCCCTTGTATATTTTATTTTCGATCACCAGCTCACTAATATCATTAGACACTTGTTTGGTAGATATAACAGCGTTAAGTTTGTTCCATAATTACTTAGAATCGGTGACGCCATCAAACATGTTGAAGTGATAATCGCGTTTAGCTTGTTCTTGTAGTTTAGTGAGTTTATTTCTGTATACTTTAAAAGCTTTAAATTTATCCGGGTCTCGCTTCATCAGAAACTCTTGATACAACCTATTTTTTTTCATTTATCATATTGAGTATTGCGGAAGAAATCCAAGGTTTGCGCGCCCGTTTTGCTGTCTTTAAAGCTTTGTAAGTAAAATGTTTTTTATACACTGAACATAGAGTATCAATAAAACAATCATAAGCAAGATCAACAGAAGAACTAGATAGAACGTTGTTCCAATTGAGAGTTCTAATTTCCTCTCTAAAAGAAGATAGCGTTCGCGGATTAATTTGTTGAAAGTGAGTGGCAGGAAGGATTTGACTCCAGTTAAAAACCATTTTAGGAAAACCAAATCATAAGCGTAGTAACTTTTTTCTAAAAGGATTACAGCTCGGATTTCTTAAGCTAGCGCGCCAGAGAAAAGCATGCTACGAAAGTCCATAATAAGGTGAACGTACATTCCATAGAGCAATATAAGCGTATCTATTGGGTAGTTGCTCATCTTGCGCTGCATGCTGACGTTTCGTGCACCTTCTTTAGCTAGGTATTCGTTGTGTTGCCGCCAGTAAAGAGGTGCATTATTAATTACCCCTAGGTGTTTAATATACTTCCCCTGTGGTATGTTCTCAAAATGATAACATAATGAGAGGTGCACGAAGATTTGCCAGAGGAAGACAAGAAGGGCACAGATACTCGGATTCGGTAACAAGTGATTTTCATCGAGCCGATTCTCCAAGATTTAAGACTGAAGTCGGTCATATCAGGTCTCAATGTTGTCTGCCGTGTCAAAGAACGTGATATCGTCACCGTACACGTAAGATGCGATTTTCAGGTAGCGTTGAATGGTGCTCATTAGCACAATAAAAAAAACATAGGAGAAAGCACCAAGCCTTGCAGCCCTCCTCTCGTTTGTGTTTTATTATATAATCGATAGAAAGAAGCCTTTAAAACAGTAAAGCTTCAGGTTCACAATGAATTTGTGAATACGCGTCAATATGTATGGATTCCGATCGGTCTATGAGAATACGGTGCTCAAGGGTATCATATGCTTTCGCGATATCCAAAGTAACGAACGCTGCTTATTTGTTCTGCTGTCGTGCTAACGGCATACGACTTTCTAAACGACATGAACACTTTATATTCAACATCCGGCCCTTAACCCGATTTAGCAGGGGCTCAAAACTGACCTCTCGTCAATTTATCTATTGATTGAT